GATCCCGGGGGAGCCTCGCGGGCCCGGGCCGGAGCCTCGGCGTGTGCATCCCCGGCAGGGCCCGGGCTGCAGGAGCACAGAGCAGCCGGGCCTCGGAGAGCTCAGAGCGCGCCTGACCCGGGGCGCACCGTGGGACTCGGGCGCGGGGCTGGCGGAGAGCTGCCCCGCGGGGCTCACAGCAGCGGAGTGGCCTACAGGGGCCCTCCCCCGGAGGGGCCGGGCCGGGGCGGGGAGATGAACGGTTTCAGCACCGAGGAGGACAGCCGCGAAGGGCCCCCTGCCGCCCCCGCCGCCGCCCCGGGCTACGGCCAGAGCTGCTGCCTCATCGCGGACGGTGAGCGCTGCGTCCGGCCCGCGGGCAACGCCTCCTTCAGCAAGAGGGTGCAGAAGAGCATCTCGCAGAAGAAACTCAAGCTGGACATCGACAAGAGCGTGAGTCTCGGGGCTCAGCGCAGGGCCGCGGGAAGGGACCCTGGGGACGCTCGGTGCGCTGGGCCTCGCCGCGCGGTCTGTGCAGAACAGGGGACTGGGGATCGTGGAGGCCGCTCTGTGCTCCGCGACGCTTGCCCACATCCCAGAGGGTGGACTGGGGGGCCGAGGAGGGCTTGGCACACTCTCCCTGCCTGGGAAAGTGACAGCAGTTTGCAGCTGTCACTGTTGCGCGGGATAGTAGAACAGAGAGAGGTGGGTTACTTTTGCAAGAATTGGGGATAAGGGGTGGCAAGGGGACCCGGAGGCTGTTCTCCAACTTCGTCCTTCCTCCAGGGACCTTGTCGTTCTTACAGATGCTAGCAAGGTGGCCGCGACTTTCCTGTCTCCCGCGGCCTCCGTCTCTGCAGCGCAGCAGCACAGAGCCCGCTTCGCTAGCAGTGAATGAGTTTTTCTGAGATGTGGCAGAAATAAGGCCAAGGCCAGGTCTTAGATGACTCTTGCAGTGGATGTGATTGGAGGGGGTGGGGGCGGGGAATCAGTTTTCTTGATGGGTAACATATTTGGTAATGCAGACGGAAGCGGAGATTTTAAATTGAATGGGATTGCCTTGCGCCTTGTGGCTAATTATAGGAAACTTCCTGAATGATTTCACCTGCTCCTCTTGTTAACGGTTCTGAAGATGTGCCTATTACCAACCGGTTACGAACTTTTTAGTTTGACATCTGTTGCTGCAAGACCTGAGTGGCAGCTTCCAGATTAGGAATTGGGACTGAGTTAAGGAATTTTTTAATATTCAGGGAGCTTGAATGATTAATGTCCAACGTTTAGGGCAGTGTTTCTCAACCTTCCTAATGGTGCGACCCTTTAATACAGTTCCTTATGTTGTAGTAACCCCCAAACATGAAATTATTTCGTTGCTACTTCATAACTGTAATTTTGCTACTGTTATGAATCATAGTGTAAATATGTGTGACCACAAGGGGGTCGGGACCCACGGGTTGAGAACCACTGCATTGGGGACAATGAAAGGGGAGCCCATCTTTACACTAATGATGTGGCAAAAACTAAGGCTGGGGGCAGGAAGCAATGGTGCCACGTGCACACTGCACTTAGAAGCTGGCTAATTTTCTAAACCCATTACCTGGCTTGCTTCCAAGCCCTACCCCCAAGTTTCATTCTTCTTTAATAAATAAGGTCATCATCTTTTCTCCTAGACTCTTCTCTCACACACTCAGCTTTATTTAGTTAACCAGTATAGTCTGGCTCTTTTGGAATAGTGCTGTTTTTTAAATGATTGGGACTTTCTTTTTACAAATGTCTGTCGATAAATAAATGAGAAATGAATGAATGAATGAATGAAATTACCCTGAAACAAAACCTTCAGGACAGTAGGGTGTCCCCTGATAATCACATGTGGGGGTGAAAAGAGGATTCTAGAATGGCGATGGATGTATTCACTTGGAAACAGTGCCTGCCTCCTGTGTGGGCTGCTGGCAGTATTTCTGTGAGCAGTCCTCACATCTGGATGGTTTTATTGTTGCAGCAGAGACTCTGTTTACCCACTCGGCCCATGGGAAACCCGTGTGGAGCAGTGTTGAGCATCTCACACACGTCGTCTGGAAGAAAGGCCCCGTTGATGCAGCAGCATCTCCCAGAGGCAGTGCTGGGGAAGGCATGTGGTTGGAAGTACAGTCTCGGTCCATTTCAAGGTGGTAGTGCAGCGTCATCATTTCTGAAAGAGTTCCTATTTCATTTCACAGACGTGGGCAGGAATTCAATCCCGAGTAACTGCTGTGTTACCAGAAAGTGTAGCTGTTATAGCAAGTGAAACGGGGGAGAAAAAAAAAGACAACCACGCAGGGAACCTTTGCTTCTACCCTCAATGTCCCGTCCCACCCACAAAGGCCTCTGAGCCCTGAAGTCGCTGAAATGCATTTCGGACTTGAACATGGTTAAGGACCGAGAATGGCTGTCTTGTAAAAGGATCAAGTGGGCGCCCTTTTAAAAAGACACCACAACCCTTCAGGTGGCCACTGGCAGCCTCTGTGATGTATCAATACAGGACCAACTTGCACTTGACATGTTTCTTCTTTGCTTCTGGAGAGTGGCTGGAGTTGGGAATAGCATAAAGGAGATGTAGCAGGAGGAAAGGGGCCTTTACCAAGGCTTGGGGGGGGCTTGGCTCTGACATCTTCCCATCTAAGCTTTAGAAACACCCTATTCTGCTCTCTCCCCAGTTTACCACTACGCTTGAGAGAAGCAGCTTGCTCTCTCAAGAGGCACATGCCATCATTGCCAATCTAAGTGCCAGATGCCAAGGGTGGTGATAGTCCTGTGCCACCTGGGTGTTACTCTTTAGGAGAGTGGTACATACTTCTATCTGAAAGTCCATCGCCAGAGTGGAATCTGGCAAAGCCATCCCAGTTTGTGGCCATGTAAGATGTGACTTTCACCAGCATAAGCTGTTTGCAGCTATGAGGGGTGCCGATATTGGTGCATCAGCACTTATTGAGCTCCTGCTGTGTGCAAGACAGCATCACAGAATAAACTCAAAATGACTCATGACTCACTAATCCAACCACATGAAACTGGTAGTCATCTGAATAAACAGTTTTTGTTATTTCCTCCATAAAACGGCCCGAATTAATTGATGGTGACTTCCTGTCAGCTTACTTTTATCTTTAGGGATTTAAGGACTAAACTCCAGTTCAGATGTCTCCCCAGAACATTTGTGCACCAGCTGTCCTTAGCCAGAGCCATTTACACAGGCATTGGGTTCTG